CTGTCTATGTTCCCTTTCCGAGCCATAGTCTTCATTGTCTTATGCCCACTGTCTTAAAAAATCTTTGTTTCATATTTTGTTCAGTGTGTTAGTTGTTTGGGAGAGTAAATCTGTTCCCTATTACTCCACCAGACTCAGAAGCAGAAGTTGGCAGTATTTTGTTACTTTTTACAACCCAGTATTGGATGCTAAAATCAACTTACTGGGTTATTACAAGCATTAAAAAGTGAAATGTTATAGAAAAGAAATATTAGTACATTTCATGTATTAAGGGTAAATAAGTTTTGTTGTGAAAACTTTTTATTTTAAAGCTATATGAATTCATGAATGTGTGCATTGGATTGTGATGTAAAAGACATTTCCTACCATACTCATCATCATGGTCTGGCCCTGGACACGGTCATAATATTTTGACCACTGCTGTAGGTACCTCATGGTCTAGTACAGGCAGGACACCATGACACTTAGTTCTCCATCCTTGTGTTTAATGGATCTGGGGAAAATAATCTCTTTCATATTACCCATCTGAAAATTGTTCATCATGATCTGAGCCATGATGAAAGCTATGATCTGAGAATCCCTGAAATGATCTCTGGGAAATAGCTGGTAGGTCTTTTTTTCTCACATATTTTTTAATTAGCACCATTATAATTACACATAATGGTGGGATGCATTGTTACACATTCATACATGCACATAATTTATATATAAGACCTATTAGACCTATAAGTGGAGATAGATCCACAGTTCTATCATTTAAGAAATAGTTATTGGTGGTCAATATATTCTACATACTGTGCATGCTAGTCTTGAGTTTCCAGCATGAATGAATGGGAGCCAACCCCATCCCAGTGCTAGAATGTATATGGGTATCAGAGGGTCAGAAAATAAGGTTTTAAGAAGTGTTATGAGAGCTCAGAGCACAGGGATATTCAGAATTGTGGAGCTGAGAAGGAGAGTTAGAGGTCAAGAAAGTTAAATTTCAATTTTAGTTTATGTATTAAATACACACATTTTAACATCTACTATGTCCTTGAGTTATATCATTGAAAAATTTGATAAAAATCCCTGCCTTTATTTTTCATTTTACTGAGAGAAATAAAACATCTCTCTCTGTCTATATATGCATATTCAGTGAGTAATGGTAAATGATCTGTTAAAAGGTCAAAGCACTATTAAATCAGAAAAAACATTCAGCATTTGATTTTTTGGGATTGGCTAACTTCAGTTAGCATTATATTCTCCATCTCCATCCATTTACCTGCATGATTTTATTCTCTTTTAATATTGATTAATATTCCATTGCATATATATACCACATATTTTTATCCACTCATCTACTGAAGAGTATCTAGGTTGATTCTACAGTCTAGCTATTGTGAATTATGCTGCTATAAACATTGATGTGGCTGTGTCCCTGTAGTATGCTGTAAATGCCAAATGTTTTCTCTGATTTAAGGATGCTATTTCATAATGTGGTTGGGAGTGGGCATGGGAGGATTAAATGAACTCTAGATAGGGCAAAGGGGAGTGAGGGGAAGGGAGGGAGTAAGGGGGTAAGAAAGACGGTGGAATGAGAGGGTCATCATTACCCTAAGTAGGTGTATGAAGACATGAAGGATGTGACTCTACTTTGTGTACAACCAGAGATATGAAATACTGTGCTCTATATGTCTAATATGAGTTGTAATGCATTCTGCTGTCATATGTAACAAAATTTTTTAAAAAGGTCAAAGAACTGTGGACAAAATGTAAAGCACAGAAAGGGTGATTAGAAGTGGGGCAGCTGTTCAAATTTTAAGTAGGAGATACTCAATGGGATGTATTTATTATCTAAAGGCAATATTATATATCTATTCTAATACAAATTCTGCAAATATTCCAAAATAATTAGAATCTTCTCATCTACAATCATTCTAAAACTGTTAGTCCTTTGGATGCTGCATCACACTCTGCAGCCACTGGGGTACAAATGTGCCATTTTGGAAAATAAATATGGGGTGATATGAGAGATGTGGGTAATTGTGCATAGACTTCTACTACGAATATTCCACAGGGCTTCTTCACTTAAAAGACACTGACAAGACAGGCTAAGTTTTACTGTGTGACCTGGATCAAGACATTTCGCCTTTGACTCCTCTTCCTTGGCACATCCTCATGCAGGGGATGGAGGCTGAGCTGAGGAATGAACTTCACAGTCTGACCACTCAGTGTATCATAGCCCAGTCACTGAGGGAAAGTAGACCTGCAGGCCTTGTCTTTGCAGCCTGCAGCGAAATTTTTTGAGTACTGTTCGTGGATTCCCATGGTTACTCTCAGTGGCCGGAGTCTGTATAACAGCCCCGCTAGATGTTTTTCGTTCTCTTGTAATATTTAAGGCGTCACGGAGATCTGAGCATTCATTCTAACGTTTGATTTCTCCATCCTTTCCATCCTCAGCTTCTGCGGACAGATCGGTGACCATTCTCCTGTTTTGGACTAGACCCCAGCCAGTAGCCCTTTCGTGTGGGGAGGATCGCCCGCCTTTTTCCCAGACAGGAACTCTTGAGAGGTCTGGCGAGTCGCGCACCGGCCAGGCAGGGGCGCGCACGCCTAGGGCGCCGCTGGTTGCGCATCTGGCGCCAGAGCGCGCCCCCAGTGCAGTGCCCGCCGCGACCGTGGCAATGGGTTGGTGCTCCCGAGCGTGCCGAGCGCTCTCTCCCCACGCGGGGGCACCAGAGCCCTCGGAAGTGTCAGGCACTGCGGTTCATTTTCCCAGTTCCCTTTTAAATGACTGCGGAAAAACAGACTCTGGAGCCGCAAATGGGAAGGATTCTCAGACAAGGCTTGCAAATGCCCCGCAGCCATCATTTAACTGCGCCCGCAGAGCAGTTACGGTTTGTCACCCGACCCTTCTGGACCGCCTCATTTGTCCCTAGTGAGAACCGGAGGCTCTGTCCATGTTGGGCTTCTCTGTAGCTGAATGCTTATGGTACTCTGGGCAGCACGGGCGCAGGGCACGCGTTCGCGCACACCCGCGCACACGCGAACACGCGCAAGGTACGGCATGGGAGCAAGGGCTCGGGGTCCCTGGAGGTGGGCATAGCGGGGAGTGAAGCTACAATCTTGGTATGGCTGCATTCTGCCAGGTTCAAGAATGAGAGAAAATGATGCGGCGCCACACATCATACAGGCCAGGGTTGCTGCCGCGCGTTTAGAGAACCCAATACGCGTCAGGCGCGCTCCCTTCCCCTCACATGTCTGTTTCTCGGGCGTGTGATGGCAGAAAACGGCAGGAAAAAGAATCACTTATAAAAGCTGGAGTTGTGTTTGGAGACTCCGCTCCCTTTGCAAAAGCACCAAAAGGAAGACCCTCCCAAACCATCTATCCCCAAATAGGTGGCCCGGAACGGGGGGGCAGTGCTCCTTGCTTATCAATGCAGAACACGTTTTGGTGTTTACAATCTTTATTTATTTGAGGGACAGCTGGTTGTTCTTTTTAGGCAGGGTGGGAAAGGAAAACGCAGCGGCGAGGGAGAGGTAAGGGAGGATTCCTATAATAAGAATCAGCGCATTTTTTTCAGAGCTGAACCAAGCCCGGTTTCCATTTCAAAGAGGGAGACGGCCTCTACTGCAATTGTAGAAGAGACCGCGGCATGAATTAGGGATCAGGAGGCTTTGAGCGGGAGAAACGGTCCATCTCAGAGGTACCTGGAGCCAAAAGCACACACACACACGCACGCACGCGCGTGTCTACATGGCCAAGATGTGTGCGTGTGTGCGCGCGTGTGTGTGAACTCCCACATGCTACTGCTGTCTGCTTCTGGCCAGAGGCACTGCACCGAAGCCTCTCTTCCCTGCTCGCCCCCAGATTCCTTCCCCTCCCTGTTGCTTTTGTCTGGAGGGTGTTATGCGTTTGTATGTGTATGAGCGTGTGTGTTTTTGGATTTCAGACTAATTTTCTGGAGTTTCTGCCCCTGCTCTGCGTCAGCCCTCACGTCACTTCGCCAGCAGTAGCAGAGGCGGCGGCGGCGGCGGCTCCCGGAATTGGGTTGGATCAGGAGCCTCGCTGCTCCTTCTCTCGCGCTTTCTGCGCTCAGTGCCTGGCGGCAGGAGGAGCCTGGACCCAGGCGCTGCCGGCGGGTGTGAGGCGCCGGAGGCCTGGTGAGCAGCGCAGACAGTGCCCTCCGTCGTCTCGGGCCCTCACTGTTCTCCCAGTGGCTGCCGCAGCTGCTCCCCAGGTGGGACGTGCAGTGCCACCTGCCCGCGCCCCCTGCACCCAGTGGTGGTGGTGGATTCTGCAGCATCATTCGGGGCCCCCGTCGCGGAGTCATCGCCGCCGGCATTCTCCGTGTCCCTCTTTAAATGGTCCTTCGCCCGGCCTGTGCAATGGAATCCTATATCGAGGACCCTTCCCTACCTTCTCTTCCTCAGCTTCAGGCGTGGAGAGAGGATGGGCACATTGATGGCATAGGAGGCTTCAGTGCCATCGTGGGGCAAGTTGATTCTTGGGCCGGAGCTGGGCGCTTATCCATCCACAATCTCCTGGCTGGGGTCGGGTTGGGGGTGAGGCAAGCGCGGAGGGAGTGTGTCCCAGTTGGTGGTAATGGGGTCCTGCGCTTAGTCTTACACGTATTTATTTCTCCTCAGCCCCGAGGTGCGTACCAGATCTCCGTGCGCGTCTTGCAAGGAGTCTGCGCCCCAGAGAGTCCCGGGAGCGGCGCCGGCCGGTTCCCGGCTAGCCGGGCCATGCAGCTGCGGCCACCGTGGAGCTCCGAGCGGCTGTAGCGCCCCCTATGAAGCGGCCCGCGATGCCCCGGCCATTGTGAACTGTGCCACCCCCCGGAATACGTTCAGCCCCGGACACACTTAGCCTTGGATACGATCGACTCTGTGCGCCCTGGACAAGCATCGAGGAGGCGAGAGGGCAGAGAGCGCAGGGGAGGCCTCCCCTCACGGGAGGGGGAAGCCGGCGGGTGCAGCGCAGGGACACGCACTTGGGCTGGCACTGGCGGCTGGGGATGTCGTCCTGGACGAGGTGGCATGGACCCGCTATGGCGCGGTTCTGGGGCTTCTGCTGGCTGGTTGTGGGCTTCTGGAGGGCCGCTCTCGCCTGTCCCACGTCCTGCAAATGCACTGCCTCTCGGATTTGGTGCAACGACCCTTCTCCCGGCATCGTGGCATTTCCAAGGTTGGAGCCTAACAGTGCAGACCCTGAGAATATCACCGAAATGTGAGTTCCTAGTGCTGTTCCTTCTTCTTCTTCTCCTCGACCATAGGTCTCAGGCCCGCCAGACCGGTAGGTCCTGGATGGGAATATTGTCCCACGTGTGGGGAGAAGTCAGAGAACAGGGATGGGTCATCTGTCAGTTATCTGTTTCACTGGCTTGAGGCTGCCAGGGCAGGGAGAACTGTGACACTTGAAAATAAGTTTTATATGTGTGTGTGTGTGTGTGTGTGTGTATACACACACACACATATATGTATGTATGTGTATATATATGTATATATATATATATATATATATATATACACACACACAACTTTATATTATATATCACTAATACAAATGTATATGATATTTTCTTTGTGTAAATTCCATATGCATTTTATATTTCAAAGCTTTATTGGGCATGCTTTACACACTCCATATACAATAACTTAGATTTGGGCACTTCTGTTTTGTAAAATGCTGTATGTATGTTGGGTTAGAGAAGTTCCAGTAATATTTACTAGATAGGATGTTAAAATAATTAACTGTAAGAAATCTGTTGAAGGAAGTGAAAGTCTCTCCCTTAACATCTTTCTCTGAGGTTTGGAGTTAACCAATTTCCCTTTTCATTTCATATATCAGATTTTGCTTAGGAGATTGCATCCAGAGATGGCCTTGAAAATGATCTGTAAGAGGAGAAGTTCTGAGTGTTGAAATGCACTCGCTCAAAAGAGAAAATGTGATCGTTGGAAGCCTAAAAGCCTGGTCTGATTTAATTTGGACTTGACTTCCCAGAGATATGATTTTGAGACCATTTGGATTATAAATCTTAATTGCCCATTGAATAATTTTCCAGAACTGGGATGGATCATAAAGCAATGTGTAGTACTCTGATGAATGCTGTCTTTAGCCTTGGACCCCTGTGGCTCTGGAAATGTTATAGCTTGTCCTGGCTTGATGAAGAAGCAGAGCTATGTATTTCTGTTCTCCCCTTTGGATGCCTTGTGACGAATACATTAGCAAGCAAGAACTCACCAGTCCTTTCTCTAAGCATTCCTAGGTCACCTCTCCTGATCCATGTAGAGGATTGTAAGGCAAAGTTTCTCCCGGTTTTCTTTACAGTGTTTGACACTGAGATAGGCATCCCTGAAAGTAGGGCTTGGGCTGTGGCCTTCCGGTTGGCGAGTGCGCATGCATTCCTCCCCCACACACCCAAAGGCACATCCATGTTTCTGCCAACGTAGTCGAACGAGATAACCTGTTTTTTTTAATGTAAGTAAGAGACCTTTCTAGTCTCTGTTGCCTGTTCTGCTGGTGATGCTCATGTTGTAAGGCTTGGGCAGAAGGAAATGACAACAGAGCAGAGGGGAATGTGCAGGCCTGGCATAGCTCAGATATGCCGGGAGCAACCAACCGTGGGGCTGAATCCAGGATGCCAGAATCTCAATCTTTTTGGCAAGGAGAGCAGAAGCTGGTGGTGGGGAGAGGAAAAGGGGGTGGGCCCCAACCTTACTGGCCTTGGGCTGGACTGGTGGAGACTCACCAGGCTGGTCCAAAGAGCCTGTGGCCTTTTGTCTTTTTCATGAGATGGGGTGTCAATAGTCAGATGGAGGAGGCCATATGGAATTCAGAGCCTCTCAGACTGTTAGGAGACCATGGAAAGTACATTTGTACAGTTAGATATTAGTTTTCTTCTTTGTGATTGTTTTTGAAGTCTGTATTAGGTGGTAGATGTACACTGGAAGAAAGAAGTGAGGTATGGCTGACTGGCTGATGGATTTTTCACTTTAATTTCTTTCACTTTAATATTTTTAAGTCCATCATTTGAAAAGAAGAAAATAAAACAATATTTAAATTAAAAACATTATGATTTCAACTGTGGAGGTCTTAATTGCCTGAATGTATATATGAAGTCAACAGATTTGGGCAGAGCTTTCTTATATTTGTTCTCACAATTGTTGCTTCTTTAATATAGGATAGCAGGTTCCCACCTTTTGGCTTTTTAAAGTGGATTTTTATAATATTTATTAAAGCATTTGTCACAGTCATTCATTTTATCATAGCATTCCTGTATCTATTCTAATTTTGTTTTTCCCCTTCTGATATGAACACCTATTGGGATTGGGGGAGTTGAGAGGCATACTGGGCTGTGTTCAGGATGGGGAGTTGGGTTAGTAATATTAGGCAGGGAGAAGGAGATCCAGGAGAAGGTTTGTTTGTCTACTCTGTCCCTCAGCTGTGGTGGAGTCCAGTCATTTGGTCCCTGGTGTATTTATTTGTAAAATGTATCACAATACTTGTTTGGAAATTATTTTGAATTCTGCCTTTTTGATCTCAAAATGACATTAGCAGATGAGCTGGTTTCATGCTCAGTCTTATATGACACCATCTGTTCTCTTTTTCTTACATATTAATATTTGCTTGAACAGCTTTGAAATTCTTGGCCAGTGGATACCAGCTATAGTTGGAACCAAATTATACATTTTTAAAACTTTGTCATTGGATGCACTGATATTCCTAAAATGACCTGTCTTAAACTTATGGCTCACTAGTGTGTAATTGAAGTTACATGTTTTTATTTTTTGAAAATAATAATATGTAATAATGTAAGTAAGCACTCTGTCATTAGAACGTGCTGTTGCAGTTTAACAGATCATTTTAAAATAATGATTTTTAAAAAAATACATTAAAATAGTTAAAATAATGTATTTTTAGTATTTACATATTGAACCACTGTGCCCTTAGGGTTCAAAAGGAGTCAATGGCAGAACATTTTTAAAATATGTGCATAAATTAATTAAAAGGTAGGACATTTTTGTTTTTGCATGCATATTTCAAACTAAGCTGACATTTTGTTGTCAGAGTGTTTGAACTTGTTTTGTTAAAAATCTTTCCCTCACAGTATCTCTCCTAAATTCTTTACACACTGAAGTGATATGGAAGGAGCTATATCTATCTATAGATTCATATCATGCCTGCTCAACATCACATTGCTAAGTGGTAGCTCCTGCTATTTGGAAATGGTTGTACCACAACAGTGCTACATTAAAGACAATACCAGTGCCACATGTGAGTGGAATTCAAGAGTGTGAAGCTTGTGTTTGGAATTATATAATTGGCCATTTAATTCCCAGTTGTATCAAGTGTCAAAGAGGATTGCAAAGGACTTGTTCTGTCTCAACCAAATTGTAAAAGGCTTAGTTAAAATGAGTTAAGGATTTTTTTTTTTACTGTGGTAAAAATCATACTATAAAATTTACAGTCTTAACCATTTATTTTAGTGTACAGTTCAGTAGTGTTAAATATATCCACACTGTTGGGTAAAACATGCATTTTATATTTCACATGTTTTAGGAAGGTCGAAGGGGATCTTTTTGTGAATTTCTTGGATGGTCTTCTGGAATTTGGGGATAATATTTGGAAATGAGGCTTATATATTTTTTCTCTGAGTACAACATAAATAGAAGTTGCAGCTTCTATTGTCAGAGCATCTATGGGCAATTTATTGTTGGCTTGGTGAAACATCTGTAATGTTATGCTATTAATACATTGATTTTGGCCCTTTCTCTTTAATAAGCTTTGCCATTGCAATTAATTGTACTTAAAAAAAATCCTGACATTCACAAGGATTCAGTGAAAAGCATTAGTTTTTATTACTCTGATGTTTACTTCTGAGCTCTTCCATTGGGGATTCTAGAACTTTGGATTGTGTTTTTTGTGCTCTTAAGAACCATGCATTTACATTTTAAATGTGGTTACATAAGCTACACTAGACTTGTTAATAAATAAGGCAGTCTAATTTACATCATTCATTATTTAATACAACTTTCAAGCTGGAGTTGAAAACATGCTGTCTTCATAGTGGAAGTATTTTATAGACTTCAGCTCAGCACAGCACAACCATTTGGGGCCTTTTTAGTTTCATAGTTTAATCTCTGCAGTATGGAGATTTTTGTCACACTGGACAAAACAATGGAAAAGCCCAGTAACCCTTCTGACCCTATTTCTCCCACCTCCCCCTTCCATCACCCATCATTGACTGTAGAGGAAAATGTGTTTGATTTTTTTTTCTTCTCTGAAAAGTGATATTTCCTTATGGGAATTCAGAGCGCTAGCTTTAAGAGAAGAGCTTGGGTTATATGTTATTACAAACAAGTAATGGAAGGTTGAAGCAATTCGGTCACAGCTCTCTCGTGCTGAGTTCAGGTCTGTTTAAGATCGTTCACTGTTTCTACCCCCATAAATGTCTTTGTGTGACTATTTCAATATTTTCTTGTAAAGATGTTTTCTGAGTTGAAGAGTTGGCTGAACAGCTGGGAGTTGAGGTTTCTTTCTCCCTAGGAACATTTTCTATGATTTCTTTGACCATATCTAGGTTGTAGGAGTATAAAACCTAGAGTTTTTGTTTAGCTAGAAAAGGGGAATTGAATTTTCTTTCTTCCTTCCTTCCCCCCATATCTCCCTCCCTCCTTCCCTTCTTTCCTTCCTTCTTTTCTTCCTTTCTTGCCTTGGGTACCAAGAAAGTATCCCTTGTTTTAACGTATTACTCGTCATTACCCATCTTGCCTGCTAGGGAAAGTTACATTATCAAACTATTATTGAATAGTATACACTGGCATTATCTTCAGGCTAACTTGACACTACTACTTCCCTAGAGTTTTTGTAGGTTCAAAAAGTATTAGGTAGACGGTGGCATTGGCTATTCTGCCCCTAGGAACAATGTCAATATTTAGTCCATCTTGATGTCTACAGATCAATAGGAGGATTTGGAGGAGAGATATTTAGGCATGCCAAATTTTTACTTGCTTAATGTATATGTATGACAGAGAGGAGGGGAAAAAACCCCTGAATCTTGGCTTATTAATAGTTGATTTATCATCTTCATAATCTACTTGGTCAAGCTATTTTAAAACACAGATCCTACTCTCCAGTCCTAAATGGCAGAGATCTGAGCCTTTCAGTGACCTGATAATTTTAGCTCTACATTTGATTGCTGATCGATCTCCATTAAAAAAGGCAAA